TACAATTGTTGACTGGAATTTATATCTCCCAGTGAACTATTTGCTAGTTTATGTGTGTCATGGAATTACTCAAGACTTGAATAAGTCTTACTGTCTGAGTGAGAGAAGGGTGTAACTCCCTAAATTTCTAGTTCTTGTGTAGCTACTCCTAGTGTCAAGGCTGGTTCTGAAAAACACTGCCTATCTGGATTAAGCAGTATTTGTGTGATTTGCCAAAGAGAAAACGTTTCTTCACTTAAGACAATATCACTGTCTAATCAAAGCTATGGCTGCATCTGCATGCCAAGGTAAACATGTCTGCTTTTTTTTCTAGGTGATAGCTCAGCAAGTTTCAGAGGAGAATTTACAGGAAGGTCGTCTCTACCCTCCATTAGTCACTATTCAGGATGTGTCACTGAAAATTGCTGTGAGGGTAAGTCATTTCAGTCTTTTGTGGCTCTTTTTCTGCCCATACTCTCTACGTAGTTGAGCATTTGATTTGATCAACTAACACACCTACACACAGGTTGAAGTTGGAAATTAAATTTAAATTCATTAATGTAAATACAATGCAAATACAAGGAAAGCTATGGAACTATAATGGAACTAAAGCAAGTGTTTATGTCTGGAGAGCCCTGACTGTGCTGTCCATCACAGTCATGCCAGCTGAAGACTTTTGGCCCTTCATGGTTATCAGTTGCCTGTCAGGAGAGTAATTGTCACCCTGTGTCCAGGCACTGTTCCCTTTTCTTCCCATCCTTACTCTGGCCTATCAAAATGACTAGCTACAGGGGATGTTTTTTGTTCATGACTTGGGTTTGGGTCAGCAGATGATTGGTTGGTTTTTACTGGCAAATACTGAGCTGATGAGGATGGATTTTCAGTAACTGACCTAAACCCACAGTTTTCCAAGAAATTTGGCTGTCCTGGAGAGAAGAGGAAGCTTTCAAATAATGCATTTATCTCAGTTCCTCCCTAATTCCAATTTTAGGGGTCTTTTTTGCAACATTTTAGGAGTTTTTTGCTGGTCTTTTGTGACTATTTTCTCTCCAATTATTATTTTCTTTCTTGGTAACCTTACTGTGAATAATTCCACTTAATCCATATTCTTTTTAAAGAATAACAAGGAGCCTTCATGCATGAAACAGTTCCCCTAGCTTCACTCATCCTGTGTATTTAAAATAAAGAATCCTTCTCACAGTTCATGTCTTCTTAGGCTAGTAGTAACTCTGCAGATGCCAAAGTATTACCTGGATTTCTCAGGCAAAATCAAACTGTCTTTGTGTTTGGCACAAATGCAGTGATGGAAGTTCCTCCTCTACTTGTGCATGTTTATAAAGTACATAAAAATGTTACCAAATGATTCTCTCTGCCTCTTCTCTGTTGAAACTCTACTCCTGCAAATACTTATTCTGGCTCACTCAGCCCAAGAGGTTTAGCAGTGGCCTCTGCCTTTTCCTGGAGAGGAACACTACCAAAATATTTTGGAATACCAAGTGTTGGGTATAAACTCAAACCTTATTCAACCATGATAATCATGTGCACAGACATGAGGATGAGCTGTTACATAAACACCCAAAGTGCTTCTCATTCAAATTGGCTTGGGGTTCAGATTAGTCCTAGAAAAGAAGTCTAAATACGGTGAATTTGGGTCTCAGCTTCTCACCAAGCTGAAACATTAATGTTTTAAGGAGAGCTAAGGAGAGCAGAAGACTGTGTTCCTTTTATTCAAAGGAGGAGCATTAGTGTTTTGCCAAGTAGTTTCAAGGAGATATTGCTGTTGCATAAAACCAGTCTGGCAGATTTCTTTTGTTTCATAGATAAATGTGTAGTCTAAAGATGCAAGTTTCTCAAGTAGGTGTTTTTCAGACATGAGAGGCTATTTTGATCTCTGAGTAGGCTCCAACCCCTTCTAAACTTAATTTTTGTTGCAGATACACTTGTGATGCATAACTGATTCACTTAGCTATGGTCTGGGTGAGGAAAAAGCAAGCAGCTATTTGTATTTCCCCCAACCATCCCTGAAGTTAAACCTGTGCACTGTGCAGAACTAATTTTTTTCTCATGAGTTTACCGTTTTTTAAATATAATATCAAACTATGGCAAATAATAAACTTCTCTAATATGCAGGGAGCATGCAGTAAACCAGGGCAGTGTGTTGATAGAAAAGCAGAAATTGTATCTCAGTGCTTGGGCCTTGTGGAATATTTTATCCACGACTGCACAGCAAAAGCTGAGATACTACGGGGCAAGGAGGAACACTGTATTTGTAACAGCAAAGACATGTAATTCTGCCCAAAAGTAATGTGAGCCAGACATCATCCTGTTCCTAGTCTCATTTGCTGTGTGCTAGCCTGAGTCCAGTGTGAATACAGGTGACTGTCAGCACCAGAGAAGATGAAGTCTCATTTTGATTTTGAACTCATTTCTACTTTTCAATCCCATTAAAGGTACTCGGATAGTTTATCAGCACTAATTAGGATTTTAATGTCTCTTTCTAGATTGCAGAACAAGCCTACAGGAACAACACTGCCTCCACCTACCCTCAGCCCAAGGACCTAGAAGCCTTCATCCGCTCTCAGGTTTACAGTACTGACTACAACACCTTTGTGGCTGACACCTACACCTGGCCTGAAGAGGCCATGAAAGTCAAACTGTAAATATTTAATGATGAATGAACAAACCAGCAGCAGATAAAAAGCATTAAAATACTAAGATCATTTCTGCCTAGGAAGCCTAAGAATAGCTAATTTTTTAAGATGCAGAAAACTTTTTCTAAATCATAGTATTTGGTTAGAAACTCAGATCAAGGAATCATGAATGATACATCAGAAAATAAAAATTAACCTGAGAAATAGATTTGTGTTGTTTGGCTTTTATTTCAGTTGTTATTTTCATTGAGATATCCTACAGTATAGTTTGATAGATCTTTTTGAAATAAGTGGCTGTATCTTGAGAGTTTTGCCACAAACATCAATGAGAACTTCAGCAGACAAATGGTACCATGGACAATTAAGAAATGCATATGATGACTGTTTAATCCATTACAGGTCACAGTGTAATTTGCATAAATCATCAACCTATTATTTTAAAAAACTCAAACTTTAAACAACTGTAAGACTAGAATATTTTCCTTCAAAGGAAAACCTTATTGGTCACTCCTCTGTGAAGTAATGAGAACTTTTGAACAAGAACCAAACCTGCAGAACATTTTGTTCGCATCTAATCAGAATATTTGAACATTAAGTAGCTAAGCTAATGTGCTGTAAATGATCAAGGATTTCATTCCCCCACCAAGATAACTGCTGTTCTGATAGGCTTAAAGTCCATGGAAGTGCTTGAACTCCATGTTCTTGACAAAAAGGGAGTGTCAAAATGCTAAGAATAGGCCTCAAAGAGTTACAAGTTGTTAAACAATTCCACTCCCAAGAAAAATGTCATATATTTTCTGGCTGGCTCTGGAAACAAAGTGTACTTGAACTTTTTTTTCTACTACCTATTTCTTTCTAATCTCTACTAGACCGAATATCCCTTGAAAATCAGAAATTAACTTTGTTTGTCCAGCCCCTCAGCTTTGCCACAGCTGCAGACTGCAGGGCCTGAATTCACAGGGGAGAGGCACTTTCTCCCTTGCTGCATAATGGGAACCTGTAAATATTTTTTGCCTCACTGTGCCTTTGGCCAAAGTTATGATGATACAAACACTACACTTCCCACAGTGAAGGAATGTACATTAATCATTACTCTGAGCAACAGAATATTGCCATCCTCTGTATTTCAATATATTGCTGTTGGGAGAAGAGTATTAAAACACTTCCTTGTGTTTTATTTGAAATAAAGTATTTTATGTTACTTTTGTAGTTGTCAGCTGAGTGTATTGAAACACAGCTGTTAAACAGCTGCCCTGGAGTGGCCTGGGTTTTGGATTGGCACGGCCAGACCTCTGCAGCTCAGCAGTAATTCTGCTTTAGTGCTCCAGGACAAGGTGGAAGGCAGGAGGCTCGTGGTCCTTTCAGACACAGCTACTGGGGACTTTTCAGTAGTATTCTTCACCTACAAATTATATGGATGACCTGAATAGGATTGTCCCTTATAAACCAGAAGACTTGCTATCTAAGTATGCACTCAGCACAGGGAGAAAATGCTGCCTAATGAACCATTGATAAAATTTCCTCTTACTAGCTGCTGGAAAATTCTCTCAATACTAATTTGACATAGAAAGATTCTTAAAGTTCTATGTATTTTTATGTATTATATATAATACAGGGATTTTTTTAAATTTGTCTATATTTTTCATGTATTTCCCTACGTAATGCATGGGGAAAACAGAGGAAATACTAAACTTTTGTCTCGTATTACCCATTTTAATTTCCAAGGTGCTGGATCTAACAATGTAAATATAAAATGCCATGCGTTGAGCAGGTGAAAAATTGTTATTAACGTAACCAGATGGACACTTTTCCACATGACATCCTTGTCTCTAAACTGAAGAGATGTGGATTTGACAGATGGAGCACTCGGTGGATAAAGGGATTGGCTGGATTGTCACAAAGAGTTGGGGTCAGTGGGTCAATGTCCAAGTGGAGACCTGTAATGAGTAGTGTTCCTCAGGGAACAGTATTAGGACTGGTGCTGTTCAACATCTCTGTTTGCAACATAGACAGTGGCACTGAGTGCACCCTCAGCAGGTTTGATAACACCACCAAGCTATGTGATGTGGTTGACACACTGAGGGAATAAGTAAGGCCATCCAGAGAGACCTGGACATACTTGAGAGGTGGATCTGTGTGAACCTGATGAAGTTCAACAAGGCCAAGTGCAAGGTCCTGCACATGGGTCAGGGCAATCCCAAGCACAAATACAGGCCGGGCAGAGAATGGATTGAGAGCAGCCCTGAGAAGGACCTGGGGTTGTTGGTCAATGAGAAGCTCAACATGACTTGGCAACGTGCACAGTATTTCAGTGTTAGTATCATCTCTTGGTCTCTTAAATCAGAATCAGAACTCCTTACACAGTTTCTCTTATTTGTCTGAAAGTTTGCCTTCAACACCAAATAAAATCTGAAAAATGTGACCACTTCGATGCTGTTTCAGGAATTCTAGGAACTGGCCAAGATCCATGTGATAGTTATTCTTCGGGCCATAATCACCATGTGCCTGAAACTGCAGGTCTTCAAAAGCAGGAAAGAGGCGAAGATTATCAATGCTTCCTTCTGTTTCTATATCCTCCACGTGCTTGCACGAAATATGCCTCCAGTTGGGATATCTGATGTCACGCCAGAACTCCTCACAGTTTTCCTGGTGTCCCTCCACACAGATGATGCCAGGTTTCCCTGCTAGGCAGAAGCCAGTCAGGTTTAATTTCTTTGCACAGTCAAAAATCTTTTTTCTCAATTCTTGCCGATATATGTGATGGCTGTAGATCCACATCCGATGCAACGTTTCTTTAACTATAACCTCCTTTGAAGCACACTCAGAAGAGATCCTACTGTTGTCCAAGTAAGGCAGACCATTGTCTTTCACCCACTGCACAGCTTCACATACACACAGATCACCTGAATCCAAAGAGCTGATGTGAGAAGCAAGACGAGTGTTGAGCTGTGACTGTTGCTGTCTGTGCAGTGAGTCAGATTTGGCAAAAAGCTGAGGAGCTACCTGAGGATACATATGAGGAAGGAGTACTTGTAATTCCACCTTTACCTTAAAAAGAACACACACAGGAAAAATTAATTCTGCAGCTACTGAAGACATGCTGGATTCTTCTTCCCTGTCAAAGCAGATCATGAGATGTTATTATGATTGCAGTAGCCTAATTACTACAATTACTTCCACTTTCCTTTTGTCCCAATAGCCCATTCTTTTATCTGTTCCTTTTCTTTTGTCGCATCATGCTGTCACTTTCCCAACACTTCCCATCTTATCCAGGCTGCTCTTTTCTGCTGTTCACAGAAATAATGCCGTGGTTGCCCTCTAGGGGTATTTCTAGTCCATGTTCACAGTATGCGTTCAGTGTTGCTACAGCAATGAAGTACGAGTCAGTGGGAGTCAAGGGCTTTTGAGAATCTTTCTCTTAACAAATGCACATCTGATCAATGAACTCAGCCCAGTTGCTGGATCTACCCAGGAACACAAGGCCACAAGTTACACTAAACAGTGTTTATGATTGTACATCTTGTATACAGAGACACATGGCAGGGAATTGGAACTAGATGATCTTTAAGTCACTCCCAACCCAACCTATTCTATGAATCTATGCATTATTATTATTACTACTACTACTACCACTACTACTTACTACTACTACTACTACTACTGCTACTATTATTTCAAGCAAGTATTCACCCTAAAGAGGAAGCATTCTCAGGATAATGGGGGCTAAGAAGACTTTTGTGCAGTTTAAGTCAGGGAAACCTCCAGATTATCTTGTCTGATCTCCTGTGAATCCTGGGCTATTGAATTTTTCTTGATTATTCCTACAGTGCCTTAAAATCAAGCACCTGAGTTCTCTGGAAACTGAACCCTGCCCCTGGTCCGAGAGCAGGAGAGGATTTATGTGCCCTCAGTGCTTAAGGCTCCTGTAGAACACTGAGGATTCTTACTACAGTGTGTGCAGTCGTGGTCAGTCGTGCAGAGAAAAGTAAAATGTGAAATGTCTAATTATCTTTCCAAGTTCCCTGACAATCTGACATAGAAAAAAAACCACTATTCCTGCACAAGCCCTCCCTACAGGGTTCATAAAACTTCTCTCTTAAGACTGGTGAAAGGGTGCATGTCAGAAAGATACCCAAATTTCCAAATAATCATGAGGCCACCTCATTACCCAGTAAATTGTTCTAATGTTTAATTACCCTTAATCTAAGGAAAATGGATCCTAGGCTGTTTGTCTGTTTGCAGTCACTGCATTGTTATTCACTCAGACCTATGTTCTCTATGCATTTATGTATTTACATGACTTAGTTGTCACATGCAGCCCTTTCTTCAATGACATAAACTATTGTACCTCCTTACACTGTAGGTTTGCTTTCCCAGCTCATAGGCTGGTTTTGTTTTGGCATTTGCCTGACTCTTCTCAACAGCATTCTGCCATTTGGGGCTATTTTTACATTACTGTATTTCAAATGCAGATTAATGAATGTTAGTACATGTTGCCAGGGTGGAAGAGAGAAATAATACAATGATTTTGCAATCATAAAGTCCAACATATGTATTCCCACGCTGGGAACATTGCCTTTGAAACACACAACCCTGTAAACCAGTAAACTAACAACTCAGATATAAGCACAGCCTCTTGTGAATGCTGTGTCTGCTGCTGACATTGGTGCCTATTCCTATCTGCGATTCTATTAGCCTTTATTGACCAAAGAAAGTTAATACTCAAATAACAGCCAAGACTTTTTTGTTAGTCTTGATTTTTAAAACTGCAGACAAAGATGAGGTGGGGTTTGGTGGGTTTTTTCCTCATTTCTCAGTGCAGAGTTTCTTAAGTGTGTGCATAAAGTAATACACGTGAACATGTCTACTTGCTAGTTCTCACCTTCGCCTCGCCTACATCAAGAGCGATGCAATATTCAAGCTGTGGGGGCAGAGCTCCCTCAGCATTTCTCAGGTAGCGCTGGACACTGGGTACAGCATCCTCATCCAGACTGATTTCACCTTTCTTGGGAAACATTGAGAGCAGCATTTCCACCTCCAGCAGCTGGAGCTACAAGCACTCTCTCACCATGGCCCCCATGGCACTGCCCTCCATGCACACCTGAAATGACAGGCCTGAGGTTTAGCACATAGCGAGGTTCAGCACTGCCAAGCAACCCAGCAAGGAGCCCCGTGATTCTTTAAGGCAGGATTGGATCAAACACAGCTGAGCAGGTGATGGGAAGGGTACATGGCAGAGAACAGAGGACAGCCAGGGTGGAGGGACGTGGGGACTTGGTTTGGGTGAGGACACCGAGCGTGGCCACATGGAGAGCAGGAACACGTGGCGTTCTCCGCTTTGAATCATAGAATTTAAGGGTTGGAATGGCCCTTACAGATCACCTAGTCCCAACCCTCCCTGCCCTGGACAGAGACACCTCCTCACTAGATTAGGTTGCTCAAGGCTCATCCAGCCTGGCCTTGAACACTGCCAGGGTTAGGGCAGTCACCACTTCCCTGGGCAAACTGTGCCAGTGTCTCACCCCCCTTACCGTAAAAAACGTTTTTCTAATATATAACCTAAACTTCCCCTCCTTCAATTTGAATTTATTAGATGTTTGATATTTTTATAATAAGATAAATGTAAATTACAAAAAATGAAGTAAATCAGTATTGCACTCATTGGACCGGGAAGAAAGATCAGCCCTTTGCATTTGCCACTGTCTTCCCCCAGTAGCCTACTGTCAAAGGAAACTTTGACATAAAAGTCTTTCTAGCTCTACATCCCTGTAGATAGACACATTTCCGAAGGCAGAACACCATCATAAATTCTGTGAGTGGTAGCTCAGTTATGACTGATCAGGTCTAACACCTTGTAGCTGCAGTTGTTCTTACTGTTAAGGAGTAAGAGGTGAAATCTGTACCAAGGGGTGGGAATGAGCCCAAGGTTTAACCTCAGTTAGCAACCAAGAGCCACACAGCCACTCACACACTCCCCCAGCAATGGGATGGGAGAATCAGAAGGGTAAAAGCTAGAAAAGCCCATGGATTGAGATAAAGACAGTTTAATAGGGAAAGCAAAAGCTGCACACACAAGCAAAGTAAAACAAGGAATGAATTAACTGCTTCCCATGGGCAGGAGGTGTTCAGCCATCTCCAGGAGAGCAGGGCCCATCACACGTAACGGTTCCTTGGGAAAACAAACACATCACTCCAGATGTCCTTCCCTTCTGATGTCATATGGTATGGAATATCCCTTTGGTCAGTTTGGGTCACCTGTCCCAGCTGTGTCTCCTCCCAATCTCCCATGCATCCCCAACTTCCCTGCCATGTGGCAGTAGGGAACACAGTAAAGGCCTTGGCTCTGT